ACCCGTCCCCCCACGCCGCTCCCGATATTCAGCTGGCCTGTTGTTTTAGGGCCCGCCCTGAGGTGCATCTTTTAATTGTTCTCACATAAGAACGCACCAATTTTTGGATGGGCTTTCACCAAAGGACATCAGTTATTATTTGTATTTGTTTTATGTATCTATTTATTACTATGTTGTTCATTATGTTATTCGTACAATGCCGCCCACTCGGGTTAAATGAGATAACTGACAAAATCAGACTAACTAGTCTGTTTTATTGGCTCAGTTGATTGATTACCTGCCTTGTGCTTCACAAGCCTGTGGCGAGTTCAAGTCAATCCAGACGTTTGCTATTTCCCCTGGATAGGTATGGGCAGCGGCCTGTGGCAGCAGCTGCGCTAGGGGTCAGGTGGCGTCAGAGGGCAGTACGGACCGTTGCCACGCACTGCGGCACATTAAACTTTCACCATAGAATTCTGCTATCAAAATATAGTTATGTAACAGGATGGTAGGGGTCAGGACTTACACAGCAAATACTGCTTAGCGCGAGCTCTGGTCCCAGAAATCCATCCATTCAAAAGGTTTTAAGTGCACCTTTAACAAGAAAACGTCAAGCTGTCAGCTAATTTTAATCAGGCATTTCAGCTACCCTATTAATTACTAAAGCCATAGTTTTCCCAGGTAGGATATATATATATATATATATATATATATATATATATAATATATATATACATGCTATCAATTACTACACAGCTGCTAGTGTTCTCCAGAAAATCTGTGAGCTAAAATTATGGATGAGTTATTTAACCTATGTGTACCTATAGTTTTCCAACGCCGGATAAACACGCGTCATTATTTAGTACACAGCTGTCACGTTCCTCAGAAAACTTGTTAGCTGAATCTATGGATGAGTTATGTAGCCAATGGGTTAATTGAATGCCACTGAATGTTTTGTGTCTGGTGAACACTTTTATTTTATGCTTAGGTTTCATTGCATCCTTTCCAAAAAATGTTACGGATTGTATTACTTTTATTGATATTTAACCCGTCCTATTCGTGTGTGCTTGGCAACTGTAGCATGCGGTTCGGTACTATTCCGTGTTTTTGAAGAAATCTCTTATCCGATCCAAAGCAATCTGTTCATGGATCCGCAAGCCACCGATTTAACCAGTCCGTGTAGTGTTCTGATGTTCTTTCGATCACCCCAATTAGGCGAGGCTTACAAGGAAATATTCGTTTTCTCATGGGGAAACACATTTGTGGCTTATGCACAGCAGAGACAGAGCAAAGACGGGCCAGCATTGTATCGCCCAATGGGCGTATACCCAAACTGTCCAGTTTTGAAGCAGGGCGTGGCCGGAAGCATGCAGGTCTGTGTCGCGGCTCTCAAAGAGGAAAGTGGTCACCTCACCTATTTAAGGCTGCCACAATATTTCGGAGACACATTCACTGCAGCCCACCCCGGCCTGCAATACATCCACCGCCATGAAGGTGAGTACTTCCGAATGGGTAGAGCGTTTGATGCAGTGCGTCGGCGACTTGTAGTCTCTCCACCATCCAGCAGCGAGCGAACCACAGGGCTGTGATCTGGTCCTCTGCGTTCCCGTGCTGAGCCGGTAGCGGCTGACATGGCTGACTGCTGCCACCAGTCGATGCACATACTGTCGATGCAAGCTGACGATGTCATATATCATCACCTATGTAAATTATCCCTGCAACATTCCAGACGCGTTAACAGGCCATGACCCTCGCCTATTTGTACCTGCATAGTTCAAGGCGCCCAGTAGCATGGCGGGAGATAATTATCGATGTGCGGTCTGTTTCAGCTGGTGATTCTGTCCTGCCTGGTGGCTGCCGCTGTTGCCGGCGGCTTTGGCTACGGCCCCAGAGGTCGTGGCTTTGTCTACGGCGGCCTTGGTGGATACGGCGGCTACGGCGGCTATGGCGGCTACGGAGGATACAGCGGCTATGGCGGCTACAAGGGATACGGCGGTTACGGCGGCCGCGGTCTTTACAAATACGGCGGTTACGGCGGATACGGCGGGTACGGCGGTTATGGCGACTACGGTGGTTACGGCGGCTACGGTGGTTACGGCGGCTACGGCGGTTACAGCGGATACGGTGGTTATGGCGGCTACGGCGGTTACGGTGGTTATGGCGGCTACGGCGGTTACCACGGTTACAGCTATAAAGGCTACTGAGGATATGGCCGGCACTAAAGCAAGGGCCAAAAATGTGGCCTTTACTTCAACGTGACACAGATGTTATAATTGTCTTCAGACCAAGCTCTTCATGAATAGGATGCATGCTTATATACACATAAGCCAGCCCGTCAAGTGTGCATATGTGTATGGCTGTATGTTAGGGCCCTGTGTCGAATAAAACAGCACGGATTCAAACTCTGGGTGAACGATGAAAGCTGGGACAAGGCCTGTGATCGCGATTTACATTGGTCGGGGTCCATCAGTCAATGAGAGCTCCCTTCTTCAAGGGCCCAGTTGGAAGTCTGGTCCGAAGCAAATATGCAAATATTTGGGTGCAATACAAAAAGGCCTGATCTGGTCTAAATGGTCCCAAACGTTTTGGACCATCGCTGGCATGGCGCTCCCCTGATCTGCCAGTGTGCGGCTATGATAGCACACAAGTTGGAGAACAGCATTCAGATCAACGATTTTGCCAAAACCATTCCGAATTTCAGCATGCACGCTGCATTGCCACTATACGGTCATCATCTCATCACCACGTCACTGCCACTAGACTTCAAATGGCGGAGTCAAATGAAGGACGAAATATTAAAAACTGGGCTGCAAGAGTGAAATGGTTTGAGTTTTGCTGGACTCATGCCACTGATTTTGTGCTGTCAGAGGTCGATGTCATGGTTTAGGGATGGACATGACCCCAAAAAGACATGCAATATTTCACCCCTGCAGACAGTTTGTCGAGAAGCGTGGGAACGGCGTTCAGCAGCCGAAGTGACGAGCGTGAGCTCCAACATACACAGTACGAGGACTTTCATATTGAAAAGGCTGACGCGTGATTCATTTGTTCTGATATTTCTGGAGGGTTGTAATAATTACGTTCAATACCTCGGGGGTTGTAACATTTTGCGCGTGTGATTGCTTCACCAGAGCGTGTGGTCATGCCCTTGACAGTTTCGGGTCTGAGAATGCAGACTACTATTACTCACGTTCTGTAAATTGTGGGTGACGCATCCCCATGCCCCATGGTGTCACCACCGCTGATGGCGACGCCCACAAGGGTGCGACCTACATGTGGTGGGACATGGCACGCCGCTTAATCCGCGCGCGACGGGGGGGGGGGGGAAGTTGACTTCCAGTTCGACGGTTTTTCGCGCACAGGTAAATAACGAACGCTTGCAGCAACAGTGAATTTGCAGTACCTGTTGGTCTATCGGTTTGGCATGCTATGTGCTGATTGGAGTTCTGGTCTATTAACATTAGGGACCTCAGGTCAGATCAAAGGGCCAATATTTAAACACTTCAACCACACATAATTTTGCTTTGGGTCATTTGTCATTGCTCATACTTGTAGAAATGGAACATGATGGTACCTACAGTCTGCAAATTTCATGATTGCTTATAACATCCAAAGTCAGTGATCTAAAATCGGACAAATTTTTACTATATTTTGGAATTGATGCAAATTCGTACTATGTTGCGTAGCTTTGGTGTATGTATATAAAGAAGAATACTCACTCACGTGCGCAGCCATCATATTTCCACAGCACACATGACCGTGGTACGGGTCATGACGTATCTCCACAGGCACTTTCTGTAGATACTTGTTGAGCACAAAGTAGGGAGTTTTGAAAGGTGATATTAGATGAATAATTCGAATACGCCGCTTAAATTATGTTGTGATATCACTCTGATGCATAATGTGGTCACAAAAATCTGAGAAAAGGTGCAAGGTCACGTGGGGTCATCGAAGGTAAGTGACCTACGTTGCCAATGGCGCAGAAACCAGATGAGCGAGTGTGACGCATGTAACCACATCTTCATCGTGTTAGTGAAGCTGATAGCGTCTCATTTCATGCACCAACGTGCTTGTTCTTAATTTGTTTCAAATACATTGTCAAACGTCGAAGGCACTATGTGTAATGTGGACGACAGCTGTGGCATCTTCGGTACCTACAGATGTACAAAACATTATTTTGGACAACAGAAAAGCATTGAACTAATCATATGGACCCGGTTAGCTTTTTAAACTTAACATCAGCATGGTTTGTAGGTTTGACCCCACTGAATTCAAATGTCCTCTAGGTCACCAAAGTGGTATTTTTTGTCCGGAATTTTCTGCACAGTTGGTAATTTTCTACACAGTTTTCTGCACATTTGCACCTCTTGACGTGAACTTAATTAGAAGCATGTCGCAGAATCCTTTATACAAAAAGAATCCATTATCACCACAGGTGGTCCAATAACTTTTGGCATAGAGACTTCAATATTTCGAAAAGGGTCATTGGCTGACATGGGGACGAAGGCCCCGGTCGGTACAGAAGCCCCGGACTGAGACAGGGCACTCCCATTATCTTCCATTGAGGGCGAGAAAACGCAAGATGTCCTCTAGTATTCAAAGACCCGTCCGTGTCTCTGCTCAGCTAATGACCCCCTGGCTGACACGGGACCCCTGAAATGTGGATCCCTGGTCGTCATAGAAGCCCCCCTCCCCCCCCGCATTGCTGCAAAGCTCCCAGGCTTGTCCTTTCATAGGAAATAGAGCCCAGGGCTCATACAACACAGAGCCGACTGCTCGTTGTTTGTGGTCTCTTGCTAATAGAGTAGACCGTATTGTCCAAGGGCTCCCAATCAGTGTAAGACGCACTCTGACTGATATTTGAGGTCACGGCCTCACCTCAATGTGACAAATGCCTTTGGGCCATTTAGTCTTCCAGTCGGGTCTTTTATCTTTTTTTTGGAGGGGCCCTTAGGGTCCCTTTCTGGACACCCTTCAGACCCCTTTAGAAAATGCACCTGGCCCAATCGGACCTAATTGTCGACACCGGGCCTCCTGTTCGGCATTGTGTGCTGATTGGCACAGAGCCGCTCACTACATCAGGGACCCTGACCAATGCAAATCGCAGACCTCGGCCTTGTTCCTGTTTGCGCAATGAGCCTAGGGCACAAAGCGGTACGGAGCCAACTGTTCGGAATTGATGGTCTCGGCCCGAAATAGAGGCCCGTGTGGCACCAGGAATCCTCAGTCGGTGTAATAGGGCCCCTGACTTACGTTTGCGGTCTCGGTTCCACGAGCGAAGATCTTGATGTGACCGACAGATTATGCTTCGGGTAGTTCGGGCCCTTCAGACTTCCAATTGGGCCCTTGGTCGTTGGTCCCGATCAGTCATTCGGGCCCCACATTGAGCTCGCTCGAACACCACCACTAGACAGCTTGGAGCCCTTTGCCAACACAGGACCTTTCCTAGGGCACTGTGGGTTCTTGAACGACAAAGGGAGCCCTTATTAACCAGGGAACCCCGACCAATGTAAATTGACGGCCCGGGCTTGACACTTTCGGGTGTGAGAATCCAGGCGACAATCACTCACGTTCTGTAAATTGTGGGTGACGTGTCCCCATGCCCCACGGCGTCACCACTGCTGATGGCGGCGCCCACAAGGGTGCGACCGGCATATGCTGAGACAAGGCACGCTGCTGAACCCGCGCGCGGCGGGGGGGGGGGAAGTTGACTTCCCCAACGGTTTTTCGCACACAGGTAAATAACGAACGCTTGCAGCAACAGTAAATTTTCAGTACCTGTTCATCTATCAATTTGGCATGCTATGTGCTAATTGAGGTTTTGCTCTACTAAGATTAGGGACCTCAGGGCAGGTCAAAGACACCAAACCTTAAAAGACTTTGACCGCACATAATTTTGTTGTGGGTCATTTGCCATTGTTCACACTTGTAGTAATAAAACATGATGGTACCTACAATTTGCACCTTTCAAATTTGTTCGGACAATGCAAAGTCATTGGCCTGAAATCGGGCAAAGTTTTTCGATGTTTTGGAAATGATGCAAATTTGTAGTATTTTGTGTAGCTTTGGTGCATGTATGTAAAGAAAAGTACTCACTCACATGCACAGCCATAGGACAACCACAAAAGACATGGCAGTGTCCCAGGTCATGACCTATCTCCACGGGCATCTTCTGCAAAACACGTGCCGAGCTGACTACAGGCAGTTTTAGGAAATAATTTTGGACGCAGAACTCGAATACTCCGCCGAGAACACGTTGTGATACCATTCAATGTACCAGATATCAGGCTAGTGATGTCACCACGCAAGCAAGGACAACATCTGACTATACGGTGATTATGGGCCAGAGCCGTAAGAAGCCCCGTGCAGGTTCTTGCCACCTCGTCTGGAAAAAGAAGCATGAACGCGCGACATAATGTGGAGATAGCCAAGCGCACGCTAGATACCGGGATCAGTGTTCAGCGGCACTGCTGGTTTCGTGTTTGTATTGAGGT